CACTCTCTCGACTAATGGGTCAGAGGCTAATGCAGAGGGGGTGGTCTAAGAATCGGCTGTAAGGCGACAGTAGGTCTTACCAGAGTTGCTCTCAGATAATCACCTTATTATTGAATGCTGGGAAAACTAGTCACTCAGCAAACATTTACTCAACAACTGCCACATATCAGGTCCTGGAGATCATGATTCTCACAGCTCATCAGTTTAGTGGTGGAAACAGACATTATAACCCAATCATCACCTAAGTAAATATAAACTGCAAGCATGATACATGCTGTCAAGGACAATCAGGGTAGTTCGAGAGTGTAAGAGATTCCTAATCTAGTCTAGGGAATCAGGAAGGCTTCCCTAACGATAAGATGGAAGAGGAACTGAGAGCCCATAGTGGCTGAAACAGAGTCTAAGGAGACAGCAGAGAGGCTCAAGTCAGACTACAGAGGGCCGGGATTTGGGTTTTTAACCACTTAATGGTTTTAAACTAAGACTGACAAGCTCAGGTTTAGACTTTACAAAGACCAGCAGGTAGAGTGAATTGGAAGAATCAAGAATTAACCCCTGGGGGGTGGGGATGAGGGAGAGAGGGAGGGGGCTGGACAGCATAAAAACGCAGCTGCACTGTTGCCATGGGGACATGGGGGACAGTTCGAGGAATGTAATTGATAATGTTGTGAATATTTTGTAGAGTGTCAGGTGGTCACGTCTTGCATCATGGATGGGGAAGAGGCTTGATCACTGCACTGTACACCTGAAGCTGATGTTGTATANGAACAGACAAGTTGCTGTCCTTTTGTTCTTCAGTCTAGTTGTGGAGGATGTTGCTTCACTGGCCCATGTTGGTATTATCATTGTGCTCTTCCTGGATGTGGCAGATTGGTCTCCGGCCTCTGGATAGCCGCTCACAGCGGCTCTTGGCAGCTCCAACTGGCTGCTGGCCGCTCACGCTGGCTGCCGGCCACACATGGTAGCTTATGGTAGCCCACTGTAGCAGGGGCTGCAGCCTACGCCGTCGCCAGCCACTCAAGGCAGCCCAGCTCCAGGCCGAACTGTTGCTCACCATCTTAGCTATAGAGGGCAGTGTCACTGGCCCTCATGTGGGATCCGAACCGGGGCCCTGCTGCTCAGAGCTAGCATCCCAAGCCAGCTCTTAACCAATGCGCCACTCGGCCGGCCCTGGTTCTTGATTTTTTAAGACTAATCTTTAACTGTACATACAGGTTGTTGCCAATTTCACATTATTATACACAAGGTTTAATGACTATCCTGTGTACCTACCTTTGCCTATGTGTTTTTATTTTCTTTAAAATAAAATCCCAGTAGACCATTGGATCAGAGTAGGCTCATGGCTCAGGCTTTAGATACATACTCTGTCAAAAAAAAATTCTGCCCTCCAGAAAACGATACCAGTGTTCAGTGTATGGGAATGGCCAGGATTTCAAAGCTGACCACTCCTCCTTTGATAGGAATAGCTTTTCTACTGTTCGGTAGTGATTTCAAATGCTTGTGCATAGAGCCAGCTGGGTAAGGGTGGCCTAGTGTGTGCGTAAGTGCCCAGTCAATCCTTCAAAAGGAAACTGGTGCCTGTCTTCATCTCCCATTGGGGCCCTGGAGTCCCGTGGGTCCAGTGGTGTTAGGGAGAGGGGCCTGCTGTTGGCCGAGATAACTTCAGAAGGAGGCTTACCTCAGCAGAGTTGCTACAGTCCAAGCCTTGGTTCCCTCAGCTCTGCTGGTCCAGGACCTTCACTTTAATAAAACAAAGGAAAAAAATAAACATAGAAAACATGCAAAATGACATACCAAAATTCAAGCTGAGTTTCATGGGTATAGAGTTTCAGTTTTATAAGATAAAAAAGTTGTAGATCAGCTGCACAACAATGCGAATATACTTAACACTACTGAACTGTACACTGAGAAATGGTTAAGATGGTGAATCTTATGAGTTTTTTTACCAAAATAAAAATTTGTATCAAGCTAAGCATAATTTTGTAAAGCATAATGATGTAAAGTCTTAAATTATTTTATTAAAAGTGAGTTTCAAGGGGGGAGGGGGTGGTAGATGAGGGTAAGAGGGATCAAATATATGGTGATGGAAAGAGAACTGACTCTGGGTGAACACACAATGTGATATATAGATGATGTATCACAGAATTGTACACCTGAAACCTATGTAACTTTACTAAAAATTGTCACCCCAATAAACTTTAATTTAAAAAAAAAGTGAGTTTCAAATATTTCTCCAAAGAAGATACACAAATGGCCAACAAGCACATGAAAAGATGCTGAACATCACTAATCATTAAGGGATACCACCTCATACCCATTAGGATGGCTACTATCAAAAAAGAAAGGAAGGAAGGAAGGAAATACCGTGTTAGTGAAGATGTGGAGAAATTGGAACCCTTGTGTACTGTTGGTAGGAACAAAAAATGATGCCGCTAAATGATGGCATATTTCCATAAAACCATGGAAAACAGAATGGCAGTTCCTCAAAAAAGTAAAAAGAGAATTACTATACGATGCAGCAATTTCAACTTCTGGGTACACGAGGCTGAACCAAAAGGGCTCCTGCTGGCTATGGGGACTGAAGCAACAGGAAGAACTGGGAGTGACTCAGCTGCAGAAACTAGGTACACTGAAGTGGCATTCACAGCGAGGGAGAAGCCAGGGGGTGGGGTGGGGGGGGTATAGAGTGACTAGAGGAAAAGAGACATCAAGAGTCAATTTTGATCGCTGAGTTTGAGAAGCAGCCTGGACATCCAAGAAGAGTGGTGTAAGTAGTTGCATAGTCAAACCTGGAGGTCAAGGATAAGATCAGGGCTAAATACAAATTTGGAATAATATTTATAGCTAGGGGCTAAGTCCAAGGAAGGACTCAGGACCAAGATGACATCAAAAGGCTAAAAACTTGAGGAAAGACATAACAATCAATCAAATAAATAGAAAGTGGGTATGGTCGTATTTATATTAAAGTTGAACTAGGAGGCAAAAGGCATTACCTAGGAATAAAGAGGTGTATTTTAGAGCGACAAGTCAGCAGTGACCCTGTGACAGGACGGAACCTTTATAAGAAAACCAGGAAAAAGGTAACACGAGTTGCATGTCTATCTTGTGCTTGCCAAGGGTTGAGGGTTTTCCACGTGCACCCAGGTGACCATGACAACAAGCCTCTGAGGTGGGTATCATCCTGGGAGAAGGATGAGAGATTAGGTTTTAGAGGCTGACAGGTGTTTGAATTCTAGCTCTACCACTCACAAGTGATGTGACCTTGAGCTCCTAGGATAAAGTCCATTTCCTCAGCATAGCCTCTTGGCTCACAGGGCTTGGCTGTGTCTCCCTCTCTCACCTCATCTCATACCACCCTTCCCACTGCCCACTCTGCCCCTCACTCTTACTAAGCTTGTTCCTGCTCAGGGCCTTGGCACTTTTAGTTCCTTCTGCCTAAAATACCCTTTCCCCAGATTTTCTTCACATGGCTGGCTTCTTAAGGTCTCAGATCAAATGTCGCTGCCTCAGAGAAACCTGTGTGACCAGCCTATCTAATGTCCTAAGGAAAACAGGAAAAAGGAAATGTTACAAGCAGAGGGAAAAATATCTTGGAAAACAAACAAAAAAAGTGGAATTCACAAACCCAAAAGTTGGTACTTTGACAAAAATATGATAACTGAACAAACCTTTGGCAAAAAACCTAACTAAGAAACAAAATTAACTTTACAACAAGCAGCACTAGAAGCTGTTTTTAAAAGTTATCAGCAACTCAGTGTTATCACTGTTATCAAGAGTTGACCAGGTACAGGAAGGACAATATGCTAAGACTGCACCAATGACTCAGAAGAGTAGCACAAAATGTTCTTATTGGCTGCTCAGTATAGTCCCTCCACTGTATGAAAAGCTACCAGGAAGCAAAATTATAAACAGAAGGCTGTTCAATTAACCCTTCAGAGCCAGGTGAGGTGGCTGGGAGAATCTAGATCACAGCTGGTCACTATCGCTAAAGGTCAACTCCCACATCCTCACCGTCAGGAGATACAGAATCACCAGGGATTTGCCATGGCTGGCCGGCACTCCCTCTCCTCAGTCTACAAGAGACACAGTGACAGCTTCTTGCTCTTCGCCTACCCTTTAACTAACTAAAGAAAGACCAACCCTTTCTTGGACAGAAAAAGCCTGTCAAAATGATCAGGTTGGGACAGGACTACACTGCAGTCACTTTGACTGGTTTTGGTGTTCCCATTACTCTGCAACCTCCACTTTTTTTTTTCTTTTTTTTTTTTTCAGCTGAGCCATCCAGCTTCCTATTGGCAGCTCAGTGGCTGCTCAGCTCGGAGCTGGACTCGAACTGCTGTTGCTCAGATCTCAAACTCTTGAGCGAGCTCTTAACCAACTGAGCCACTCAGCCGGCCCCAACCTCCACTTCTTAAAATGGAATATTTCCACAACAGTGGGGCTCACACGTTGATATAGTAGGTTGTCACGTCCTGCGTGGCAAGGGCAAATGGGACACGAGAGGGGCG